TCATCGAGTGTCGGGCAGGTGGGAAGAGGAGGAGGGGATGAGTATATTCACACCTAATGCGTGCAGTGCGCACCATCTGCGAGATGGAAATGCTTGAAGTTCTGACTCGGGCAGGGCATAGACAATATATGTAACCTAAACATTTGTACCCCCGTAATATGCTGAAATAAAATAAAAAGAAAAAAAAAAGAAAATCACTCGAATTTACTTCATGTCTAATATCATTTCCATAGTCTAAAATAAATATCAAATAAACAGCAAGTAATAAGTCATTATCAAAAGAACATAAAGCGAAAAATGCACATTAAAATGATGTATAACATAACCACATTTATTTAAGAATGTATTCCAACACTGAATGTTAACAATGCTAAAACTGCAATTACTTTTGCAACCTATATTTTTCTTCTGAGAAGCATACCACTGAGTTATAATTGATAATTAAAGCTAATAGTTTCTTACAGGGAATATCTGAACTGTGGCAATTTTTTTAAACAAATTAATTCTAATTGCTCCCTACTACTCAGTGTATATCTAGAATGCTACTTTTGAGATCAGTTGTTAAGAGATGTGAACTTATTTTTTTAAGATTATGCAAACCATCAATAAGGTCAATCACTGCCTCAACTGTATAATGTATTATAACCAAATGTATGTGACACTGAAATTATCCACATTAGTTCTCTCCATAGTTAGCATAAGTAACAATCGATCACCTCTTAATGATACATTTTTTATTGTTGCAAAAAATACATCACAAGAAATTTTCTATTTAAACCAATTTGCTATTGCAACCAAGTTTACTGACATTAAATATACTTACATTTTCATGCAAACATCGCTATCAACCATTTCTAGAACTTTTTTCATCTGCTCAAACTAAAACTCTTTACCCATTAAGCAATAAATCTCCATTTTTATCTCCTCCCAGCCACTGGCAATCACCATTCTACGTACGTTCTGTTTTTGTAAATTTGACTACTCTTGATATCTCATAAAAGTAGAAACATAAATATTTCTTATTTTTTGACTGGCATATCTCACCTAGCATAATTTTTCAAAGTTTATCTGTGTAACACCATATGTCAGAATGCCCCTTCCTTTTTAAGGCTGAATAATAGTGCAGTGTGTGTGTGTGTGTGTGTGTGTGTGTGTGTGTGTGTGTGTGTGTATGTGTGTGTGTGTTTGTGTATACTGCTTTTTGTTTGTCTGTTCATTCATTGGTGGGCATTTGGGTTGCTTTCACCTTTTGGCTACTGTGAAAAATACTGCTATGAACATAGGTGTACAAATATCAGTTCAAAACAGTGCTTTCAAGTCTTTTGATTGTATACCCAGAAATTTAGTGCCTGGATATATGGTAATTCTACTTCTAATTTTTTGAGGAACTTGAATGCTGTTTTCCATAGTGGTTGCAGCATTTTTTATTCCCACCAAATAGGCAAAAGGGATCTGATTTCTGCACATTCTCACCAACATTTTTATTTTCTGCTTTTTGTTTGGGTTTGAAATGGTATCTCACTGTGATTATGATTTGCATTTTTCTAATGATTAGTGATGTTGAGCATCTTACCAGGTGCTGTTGGCCATTTGCATATTTTTTATAGAGGAATGTGTATTTGAGTCCTTTGCACATTG